AAGGGGGCGCACAGAAGGGGGCGAGGCACAGGGGCGCGCGCAACGCGACGCCGCTGCCACGGCTCTTTGCCGCAAAGTTGTAAATTACGGGACCGGTGGTGCATAAGCCGAGGCACCATTTTTTTATTAATAAAAAAAAAACATCCCCCCAAAAAACAGCAGCAGCAGCCACCACATCCGTAGCCAGCCGACACAACAACAAAAACAACAGCCATCGCACATAACGCGACCCAGCCGCGCGCAGAAGCGGCGTCGAGAATGAATGAAAAAGGGACACGGGAGGTAGCGAAGTAGCGAGCGAGCTCACGGGGAGCGTGAGAGGTGTCGCGGAGGCGCTCGTTAGCGCTCCTCGAGTCCGCACGCGAGGACAGAGGCTGCGCGCTCGCCGATTGACACGGAGAGCGCCCGCTAGGACGGGAGAACGCCCGCTAGGACTGGAGAGCGCCCGCTAGGACTGGAGAGCGCCCGCTAGGACTGGAGAGCGCCCGCTAGGACTGGAGAGCGCCCGCTAGGACTGGAGAGCGCCCGCTAGGACTGGAGAGCGCCCGTGTCGCAGCGAGCCACCATCCCGCGTGTGTCACGCGCACACACACACACATAGAACACCCCCACCACCGCCAGAGCCCCCCCCCCCCCCGCGTACGAGATGCACCCCAGCGGAAGCATTGTTTTTTCAAAAATCAAAACACGTAAACAAACGCCGTTGCTTTTATAACAAATAAAAACAACAACAACATTGGCGTGCGCGAGGAGGAGGTGCGCTGAGCGAGCGGCCGCGGTCGGTCGGCTCCCGGCCGCACCGCAGCCCCGAGCGGGGGATATTATTCCGGTCACAGCCGCTAACCACACCCACACAATTACCCACGACGGACGGAGTAATTAATAATCCTCAATTCAACCAAGCAAACGGTGGTTTTATTTGTTCTACATTTGAACGAACACACACACACAAAAAGAGAAAACAAATATTCCAAGCGCAAACAATGCGACGAATTGGCAGCGAAGATTATCAAACACAGAGTCCCGGTAGCTGCGGCAGTGACAGAACCCTCAATAAGCGGGGGGGGGGGGGGTAGACGCGAGCCGCTCAGCCCGGACCCTCCCCGGGCCCTCCGCGCCCGCGTGGGCGCCGGGTGGCCGCACACGAGGCCGGGCAGAGAGCGCGCGCGCGCGCTTGGGGGCCCGGGCAAGGCCACAAAACATTCACACTTTGGCTCGAGTCGCTCCAGCGGGAGCGCGCACTTGTCACATGAGCCCACGGACACAGGAACACCGACGCGCACATTTGCCCAAGGCGTAAGCTCAGCCGCTGACAGTGCCCGCCGGGACCGCGTGCGCGCGTGCATGCGCGCGCGCGGCTGCGCCACGGAGCCTCCCCGAGCGCCCGAGGTGGCGGCCGCCTCTCCCGGTGCCGCCGCAGCGTCCGGGGGGCACCGCCGCCTTAGGGGGGGGGGGGAGTCGAGCGAGACCGAGAGGCAGGCAGAGCCCGCCGCTTACCAACAGGTTCCGTGAGGTGGTCGAGACGCAGGTCGCGCTCCCGCCTCCTCTTCCTCCTCTTCCTGGTGGTGTCGCGTAACGCGCACTCGTTCCGTGTCCGGGGCATTATATCCAGGGCGTCTGGCGGCGGCAGGGGAAGCGGCGAGCTGTGGCTGGGGGGGGGCGCAGGGAGTAGCGGTGCTCGCGACACCTTCACGATGCGACCGGGCAAGGCGGTTGCTGGGGGTAGGCAGGCGGGCGGGCGGTCGAGAGAGCGGGCGGGCGGGCGGGCGGACGGGCGGGCGGTCGGACAGGCCGCCGCCCAGCCCTGCCCCTCGCCCGGCCCGCGGCCGCGCCTCCTCGCGCCGAGCCGCGCCGACTGCGCGAGCCGACGGCGCGAGGGGCAATGACAAAATGCCCGGGGTTTTTTTTTTTGGGAGCGTAATTTGGGCGACGTAAGAGCCACAGCTGCGACACCAGAGCCGGGTAGAGAAGACTGCACGGGGGGACACTCACTAGGGAAATCATAAAAAGTTCACGTTCATGGTTACTGGCCACATGACCGCCGCCAACCAATGACGAGGCGGAACGACTCGTAAAGTTTTATCACAAAGTTGTAAATTTTAATAAAACAACAAGGAATTTATTGTCTCCCCCCCCCCGCCCGCAGTAGGTATCCTCGCCTCCAGTCCGCCATGTTCTTTTAGGAAGGAGCTTTTGTCTTTTGTGTTTTTGGGGGGGTCTGTTTCTTGCTTGCTGCTGCTGCTGTTGTTGTTGTTGAGCAGCGCGTTTGTGCTGCCCGGGGTGTAATCCGAGCTGCTCATCACCTGCGCGTGGCGGTGCGCACCGCGAGAGAGAGAGACAGGAACTACTTTTACTGTGCTGGGATTCTGAGCGCGGGCTCCCACGATGGGTAGGCAGCGGCAGCAGCAGCGGTCGGGGGGGGGGGGGGCACGAAATCGCTCTCGTGCGCGTTTGCATTGTCGCCCCTCGTGCACCGTGAGTACGAACAACAATACGAAATATAAAAAAATATATATTTGCGACGCGAGGTATTATTGCTGCTCCTAGCGCTGCTCGGAACAATATTGGCCCCATGTTTTTTTTTTGGGAGAGGCGGTGAAGGTGGGTGGTTGTGGTGGTGGTGGTGGGGGGTAATCTTCCACCGGAAAAGAGAGAGCGGGGGGGGGGGCTACCACGCACGGCTTTTAACTCGAAACGGAGGTGGGGACCGTGGGTTTTGGGGGCACTTACCGTGTTTTTTATTTCCGTGCAGTCAGGGATGTTACGTGAGATGTGACGCATTTATATACAGATCTGACACATTTAATACGCGGTCTCCGCACGCGACGGTTACGAGTCTTGTCATATATATTTTTAAATAATATAGATTTCGCGCCCACGGTGGTACGCGCGGTGTGCGAACGAATATTTGGGACTCAAATGATGACGCAGATCGCCGTAAATGCTGCCCATTGAGTGTCACGAACCCCTGCGACTGGACATCCGTGAAGTAAACAAAGCTCCGTAGCTCATCGGATCACTCCGGTATAGATAATTAAATATTCTGATACTCACTTAAAACAAAATTGGGGGGGGAGGGGGGGGGGCACGTACAGGCGGATGACCGAGTCTCGTGTACACGAGGAACTGCTCACGGAGGAGGACTGCTCACCCAGGCAGACGTAACCTCTGGGACTCTGAACCGAATGCGACATCCGCACGGCGACCTGGCCTAGGGAAGGCCGCGGAACGACGTACCGTGGCCACTTCCATCGGCGATTTCGCGCAGAGAATTAACTCGGCAATAGCTACTACAATCGGCGGGGTTGTTTTTGTTGTTCAGTATTTCGGGAATTGCTGCGAGTCCCGGTAAATTTTTCGTTGAGAATTTCCGTCGGCAGTTTTGGGAAACCCGACGCGGTTACCGCGCATTGGCGGTGCGTTTTCTTTGCACGGAACGCGCAATTTGTATGGAGTGCAAGACTTTTATTTGCATTGTTTTGGAAAATGCGTCAAGCGATTGCGCGCGATGTTTGTATTTATGTGCGCAGGTGAATAACCCCGTATATGTATATATGTATATGTATACATGTATGTATATGTATACTACATTTATTCCACACGTGTTGGGGGGGGGGATAATAACCGTTGATATTTTGATTCGTTTATTGAATAACAAAGTCGAACGAATGCGCAACAGTTTATTGAGAAAGATGATCGACTTCCACGAACTTTCACAAACAAAGAAATGAAAAGGACGACACATATATATATTAAAAAAAAACATTTTCAGTGTACGGTTTTATTTGAGTGTCACGTTAAATCACACACCATCACCACCACTAACCGACACGAAATGCTCCACGGTAATGATACATTCAAGTTACACAGGATGGACGTGGGGATTTCTTGTAAAATATCCCGACCTTAAGAGACGACGATTGATTTACCTATCAGACACACACAGCTAAACGGCGACCACACACCACACAAAACGATCACGTATGTTTAGTGTTACATTTACTTCGTTGTTGAAAATATAAAAAATGAAGGTAAAAGTTATGTACATTAAAAGAGACGCTTTTATTTTTGTTACGACACGTGTGTGCGTGTAACGAGACGTGGTTTCTTGTGAGTGGGGGAGCGGTGGTGCAGCGGTTAGCGCTACGCCGCGCTACGATCCTGGCCACCCGAGTTCGCTTCCCGCTCACGGCCAACACCGGTGACGATTATCTGAACCGGTCCTGGGCCTCCCCTTAGGTCGACTCGGCCTCAAATGAGTACACGGGGCGGTGCGTAGAATCATCGCCACTCGGGAGACAAAGGCGGCCGGGCGTGGTGCTGTTGACCACTCAACCCCGCTCGTGTGCCGTGCCGGCCTTCATAGGTGCTCGCTAACAAACACTTGCCCCTACGGTCTGTTCAGGCCTATACGGGGGGGGGGGATCTTCGTGTCTTTATTTATCGTAAGGTCAGCCGAAAGGAAGCGGCGCGTTTTCTCGACTCTCCCCGCGCACCGGTCGCCCCCCCCCCCCCCGCCTGCTCCCCTCTCTCTTACTTTCTAGGTTCAGAACAGCCAACAAACAATAATACTAATGAGAACAGCAGCAGCAACACACACACGCGCACACACCCACATCGAGGTAAAATGCGTGTAAATGTTTCATTACGGTCACCGCTAACACCTCGCTCGGACGCACGCACGCGCGCACGCACGCGCGCGCGCGGCTCCATAGCTGTTACACACCTGGTGACGAGAGGAGAACACGAAGGACGTGCGGTCCGCCCTGGCTATACTCGTCGTGAGCTACTCAATGTGACGGAGCAAATAACTTACACGACACACTCATGCGCACTTTTTACGCACACACACGAAACAACCGAAGGCTGATTTCTGCTTGAACCAATTTTTTCGCAGCCCCCCAACCCCCCCCCACTACCCCGTCCACGTTTGTCTCGCTGGTTCGCGCTCGGCGGCTGTCTTCGCTGCCCCCCAGCCCCCCAAACTAAGAACCCCAATTGCCCCTCCCCCCTCCTCCCCCCCTCAAAAAAATAATCTCCCTTTTCTAATCTTTCTTTTCCTCAGAAGCGGACGCTTCCGCGGCCGGATTCTGGTGCTCCTTCTTCCACTTCATGCGCCGATTCTGGAACCAGATCTTGATCTGGCGCTCGGTGAGGCAGAGCGCGTGCGCGATCTCGATGCGGCGCCGGCGGGTGAGGTAGCGGTTGAAGTGGAACTCCTTCTCCAGCTCCAGCGTCTGGTAGCGCGAGTAGGTCTGGCGGCCGCGTCGCCGGTCCGGACCTTGGCACGGGTACAAGAGCAGCAGCAGCGGTCACCCCCAGAGAGCAAGCAGCTACCCCCCCCCCCCCGCTCCACAGTGCCCACCACCACAACGAAGACAAATAATGAATTCCACCCCCCCCCCCCCCCTTTCAACTTCTTCCACCGTGTAGTCTGAGCAGACTGTTGGGGCAAGTGTTGTTAGCGAGCACCTATGAAGGCCGATATGGCACGCGAGGGGGTTGAGTTGAAGTTCAGACCTTGTCTCGCAGGTGCTGATGATTACACGCACAGCGCACCAGGTACTAAGTAATGGTTCGGTCAAACTTGGGGAGCCTCCGGACCGGTTAAGATAGTCGTCAGTGATGTTGGCTGTGAGCGGGAATCGAACTCAGGAAATTGGGGTTTGTGGCGCAGTGCACGAACAACTGCACCTGCATTTGTCCAACGGGACACGGATTCACAGACACACGCACAAGACACGGACACACAGACACTCACGCTGACGGACTCACGCACTCGTGCGCTTTCTGTGTGCGCGTCATGTTTTACTCACTAGTCATGTACAAACAATATTCGTGTACAAGTGCGTATGCACACACACACACATAGTAGGCATATGCATGTTTAAATTGTGTTTTTTGTATATAGACATGCACGCGTCCACTGTATACAAACGCATATCCACACATGATGTACTCACTAAAAAGTTTCTGCACACACTCGTTCGGCCCTTGCTGTGCGTGCATCGTGCATATACCCACTGTGTTGTAGTACGTCGCGTGCACATGCAGTGCCCGCATAGCAGGCCCGTGTGCATGTCTAAAATAAAACATTACAACAAAAACATAGTTGTGCATTAGGCCTACTATGATCCGCAAAAATGCACAGACGATATGGACAGTCACGTACATGCACGTGTCGGTCTTCTGTGTGCACGCGTGTGCGCACGTGCACTATACACGTATGCGTAGTTTTCATGCGGGAGGTGGTGGAGCGGTGGCGCGGTGGTTAGCGCGCCGAGTTAAATGAACCCCGGTCACCTGAGCTTCATTGCCGGCCGCGCGTGACGTCGGCGGCTGGCGAGTGACACCTGGAACCCATCCCTCCTTCACCAGCCCGCACTGACCAGCGCGGTGAAGTATGGCCAAACAACGCACGAAGGCGTTCATCCATCCAGCAGTGGAATTGACAAAAGATGCCGTAAATAGTTTGTGCACGCACGCGCATGTGCCTTCTGCGTGTACATAATTTCGCACGATGCTTTGTATTGAAGGGTTTATTGTGCGGACGCAACCGGGCCTACTGCACGCGTGCCATGTGTATACCCACGCTGCTAATATATATGTGCAGTCTGTGTACACATGCATCGGTTCTACAATACGGCGCACGCACACACACACACGTGCGCTATAAAAATGTACACTTGGCACGTACAAAGATCCCCGTATAGCCTGTAACAGACTGTTGGGGCCAAGTGCTGTTGGCGAGCACCCTATGAAGGCCGGAACGGTACACGAGAGGGTGGGTGGCCAGCACCACGCCCGACCGCCTTTGTCTCCCTAGTGGCGATGTTTGCACACCGCACCAGGTACTCATTTGAGGCTGAGTGGACACGCACACGCACGCATACGGGCCTAGGATATGGATACATGCACAGATTACACACACGGGAATACCATGCATGTATACAAACCTTACACGTGTAGGGAAAACGTGCGCCGCGTGTTTTATATACAGAGTGCGTGCATGTACAACTACACATAAGTCGTGAACACGCACCTGTATATGCACACTGGTAGTATGTTATTTATTTATGCATGTTAAAACTGTTAATACAGTGTCAATATTTATATTCCAGGATCGTGAGACTATAGCGGCGGTTTGGGGTGGCATTAATTCATCCAGCAGCGGATTGACCATGACTGACAATGTGTGTGATGATTCACGTGTACATAATGTGTGTGATGATTCACGTGTACATAATGTGTGTGATGATTCAGGTGTACATAATGTGTGTGATGATTCACGTGTACATGTGTGCGATGATTCACGTGTACATAATATGTGCGATGATTCACGTGTACATGTGTGCGATGATTCACGTGTACATGTGTGCGATGATTCACGTGTACATGTGTGTGATGATTCACGTGTACATAATGTGTGATGATTCACGTGTACATAATGTGTATGATGATTCACGTGTACATGTGTGCGGTGATTCACGTGTACATGTGTGCGATGATTCACGTGTGCATAATGTGTGTGATGATTCACGTGTACATAATATGTGTGATCATTCACGTGTACATGTGTGTGATGATTCACGTGTACATGTGTGCGATGATTCACGTGTACATAATGTGTGCGATGATTCACGTGTACATAATGTGTGCGATGATTCACGTGTACATAATGTGTGCGATGATTCACGTGTACATAATGTGTGTGATGATTCACGTGTACATAATGTGTGTGATGATTCACGTGTACATAATGTGTGTGATGATTCACATGTACATATTGGCCTGCTATATTTACATGTACTGTATTATGCAAGCGCAATAATGCGCACAGGTATATTTCTAATTATAATTAAAGTAATATATGTAGTAATTGACGCGCATATGACATATCGATAGCCCAGTGTGTGTACACACATTTACACGGACGCAGGACTAATTTACCATAAGTATGTACACGCGCAATGTATATCTGAACACTTGGTACACGTAAAACCGTGCAGGTGTGCTCAATGTATATATAAATATTCCGTCCATATTTGTATTCCCATACTTACGTACATAAATATCCGCTGCATGTATCGCTCTACGCAATTGCATGATATATATTCTTTGATATACTTTTTTTCATATATATACAGTGTTCACACACGCGCGTGCGCAGTAACATCTGCACGCATCCACACAAACACGCGCGGTCGCCCACTGACAACCGCGTGTTACAATTAACGCGATGTACAAATTAACGTCGAAAGGCGTTGATAATGGAATAAAAAAAAACATTACAATTTCTGGTATTGAAAATTGTTTTTTATCTTCATGCAAAAAAAATAAAACGACTCACTCCTCGTTATAGTGCGTACGTTTCTGTGAAAACAATGAACAATATATATTTTTTGGTAATGCATCGTTGGAAAATAAAAGGTGCGAACACACAAAACAAAAAAAACGTCAAACAGAAAATTTTCGGTCGCTCGTCCTCAAAAACTTTTTTTGACGTCGCCGTCTCGCGCGCGTCGTCACCGCGGGGTCCCGAGCCGGCGTCCGTCTCCTGTCGACCCCGGCGAGTCTCCGTTGTCCACTACGGGGCCGCTCGACGAGACAACAAGAGCAAGGGGACACACTCGCTCGCCGCGTGCGCGATACAACAAACCACCGACCACAGCCAAACCCGCAACCAACCCGCCGCCGCGCTGGCACGCACAGATCGCGCAGACCACGCGTTTATAGGTGGCCGGTGGCGAGTCGCCCACGGTCACCTGTGCGGCCCAGGCGCGCCTCCTCCCTCGTCTCCTCCTCTTCCTCCGCCTCCTCACGGCGGCGAACTCTCCTCGACCCCGACCCCACAGCGCCCGCGCCGCCGCCTTTTGTTATCGCCGCAAAACGCTCGAAATTCGTCCCCCCCCCCCCACCGTGAGCAGCGATGTTGTACAATATCGACGTACAACATGTAGCATTATGTAAAACCATCATCATCATTACCGTCATCACCGTCATCATCATCATCGGCGGCAGCGTTGTGTTACATTACGCGGGGTTTGCGTTCTTTTGTTCGAGGCACCCGGTCACTGTGAACGCGTCGCGGGACATTTCACCGTGGAGTCATCTCGGCGCCGTTGTTTATCGCCCCCCTTAATGAGATGCGCGTCGGCCGTGCACCCGCGAGCGCGGACGAAGCGCGCGAGTCTCGAGGAGTCGCCGAGGCGCGCTTCGTCTCCGCGACTTCCCTCCGCTCCGCGCAGCGCGCGCGGACCACCACCACCAACCCCCCCTCCCACCCCGGCCTTCTCCTCCTCCTCCTCGCTCCACACAGCTCGCGACGCGCCCCGCGCCAACCTAAACCCCGCGTCGTGTACGCGGACCTCCGTGCACACGACCGGGTGCCCCGCTCGAGCGCGTCGCGAGTTTGCGGCTGGGTCGTGGTGGGTGGAGGGGGGAGGGCTGGCGAAGAAGAAGGGGGAGGGGGTGATGGCGGTGTGGGGAGACTACCTGCCGTGGAGCGCATCCACGGGTAAATGCGCAGCCCCGCGTCGCTCCTGGCCGCCAGCGCCCTCTCCCCGTCCGCCTCCGCCACCGCCGCCGCCGCGGCCGCCTCCTTCCCGTAGGGGCTATGCCCGAACGGCTGCTCGTAGGCGGTGCACGCGAGCCCGAGCGGCGCCGAGCCGCCGAGCGCGTAGCCCGCGCCGTAGACGGAGCCCGGTGGACCGCCGCCGCCGCCCTGCTGATAGAGTCCGTAGAGCCCCGACACGGAGCCCGGGAACGAGGCCGCGGCGGCCGCTGCTGCTGCTGCTGCGGCTGCGGCAGCGCCCGAGCTGAACGAGTCGGCGGAGAATTCGCACGCGGGCCGAGGCTCCACCAGCCCCGCGCCGGGCTGGAAGACCGAGGCTCCCGCGGTATATTTGGGGAAAAGAGAGTTCACATAATACGACGAACTCATAATGCGGCCTGATGATTTGTCGACGGAGACTCTTCCGTGTCGGTTTTACGAGGACCCTTTGATATATGGTTAAAGCAGAGGCCAGATTTACAATGAACGCCCATCCTCCTCCCAGCTAAACTCTTGGGCCGCATGTTTGCGCATGTGACGTTTCATAGCCAATGGGAGATGAGAGGGCCCTATGATGCATTCGTTTAATCTGAATGCCCTGGTCAGAGACGTCGCTGCCGTTGTTGCCGCTGCTGCGTTGCAAAAAAAAACCTCACACGACGTTGAGAAAATGACCGCTCATTAATTGGCTCGTGACGAGAATGTGTATTTATTGGCGTTGTAATTATCCGTCGTCATCGTGGCGATCAAAACAAACCGCGTGTATATTTTGTCAACGATTTCAAAATAAAAGCGTCGCCCTCCGGAATGTTTCGAACTGCCCTCTCTCCCCCCCTTGTGCGTGTCCCCAGACAGGGGTTTAACACGGCCCCTGGAAGCCCCCCCTGTCCAGGAGGGCGGGGGGGGGTTAGAAACTTGGCCGCGGGAAAGGCGGAGGAGAGGTCGCCGCTTGTCTCGGCGTTTTGACCGGTGGCGGCCGCTGTGACGTCACCGCCGCGAGCCCCACTCTCTTTTCTTCTCTCTTCTTCTCACTCCCTTCTCTCTCGCTTCTCTCTCTTCTCTCTCTTATCTCTCCCTTCTCCTCTCTCTCCCTTCTCTCCTCTCTTCTCTCTCTCTTCTCTCTCCCTTCTCTCTTCTTCTCACTCTCGCCTCTCTCTCGCCTCTCTCTTCTTCTCTCTCCCTTCTCTCTTCTTTTCTCTCTCGCCTCTCTCTTCTTCTCTCTCTCGCCTCTCTTCTCTCTCTCGCCACCGTGACGCGCTCCGTGATTTGTGCTCTTCCGTGAAACGCGGCGCAAGCCGCGACTGCTGAAATTGTTGCTTTATAGAGACCGGATGCACTATTTCATAATTCCAATTTTTTTTTAGATACAGCTACATAATGTTATCTTTCGCGAAATATTGGTGAACCTCCGTCGTTAAATTGGCATCTTGGGCACTCGAGTGAGGGGTTTGAGCGTTCGAAAGCCTCCACCCTCCCCCTATGCCCCCCCACCCCCACTTTTCTGTCGGCGAGTCGAGGAAGAATGAATTCAGGAGCGACACGAGTTGCGTTGTAGTGTTTCGTGTTTTTTATTGTAACATGTTCTAAACATCAGTTAATGCGACTCACAATAAACCCCACATCTCTCATATACAACAATAATTCGTTAAAAACCCTTCGGCCGAGTATTTCTACAAAGTTTTAACCAAACTAACACACGACAGTTATACATTTTTTTTGTTCCTTCCAGAATAACGCACGAAGAGCAGATTACAACGAAAAATCACTTGCGACCCTCGGTCACGATTATGTACCACCCAATAATAACTACGATATCAACACTGGACATTACAGGCAGTTCATGTTGTAGTGGGGTTTGCGCGCACGCGGGCGTGTTTTCTTTAAACAGAAAAAAATAACATTTCGTTTCAAATAAATATATCACGGAGGCGTGACGTCACCCTCGTTGCTCGCGACCAACAAAGAAACTCCGGCAGGAGGCGCAGGAATGAGATGATGGGGAACGCGTGGGAACGATTCACTGTCGTTCACACGCCGACCCGGGTACCGAGTCCCCGGGACGCGACACGTGGAGGCAACGGGCCGAACGAGGGTCAGTGGCATCAGCACCGCAGGGGGTAGTCGCTAACAACGCGGCCGAGTGGCTTATCGACCCAGTCGAAGTGGCTTATCAGCACAGCCGAGTGACTTATCAGCACAACCGAGAAGATATCATCAACACACGCGCATACACCGAGCAGATATCAACGTAGCCGAGTCGCTCTCGACACAGCCAAGCAACAACAGCCCGGCCGAATATCAACAGAGCGGAGAAGATAAGGACACGGCTGAGCCGCTATCAACAAGGGGCCGAGTTGATAGCCACCCATCCAAGTCGCAATCCAAGCACCCGAGTCCGTTGATCAATACAGCCGAAGCGGTACGACCAAGCTCATGTGGCAACAAAGCAAAGTCGCCATCGACACAGCCGAGGGCGTATTAACACCGGCGAGCAGGATGTCAACACAGCCGAGCAGATACTCGCAGACAGACGAGTTGCTACGCACGCAGTGGAGTTGCTTCGAACGCGGCCGTCGCGAGCAAGATATTCGGTCCGCGCTCAAACAAAGTCAACGCGCACTGATATGAGCAGCAGCAGCATCACAGAAACACATTCCGGGCATAATAACGAAGAGCCATGCCAGCAACAACACGCGCACACATGAACTCGAAACTAACATTGGATTTTAATCGACAAATTGTTTTCCCAATATTCCTTTTTTATCTCTCTCTCTCTTCCACAACGATATTCATGATAACAGAAAGACAAAAACAAACAAACAAACATACAAACCGGGCGACTGAGGAATCATTGTTACACCATAATATATAATTTATACACGGTTGCGTGTGTGTGTTTTTAGGGCTACGTTTCAAGAGCCATTCCCGCAGAAACTCGCTACACACTGTATAACATCAGTCTTCATTCAGGTGCAAATAAGAGGGGCGAATCGAGGGGGGAGCGGGTCTGACCCCTAGTGGACACCCAGAGGGGGGGAGGTGAGGAGGGTCGGGGGGGGGGGGAATTCGGGTGACCCCCCTCCCGAATCATTCTGCGACCACCTCCGCCTTCTCAACAGGCTCCGTTGCCTCCTCCGGCTGCTGCTGCTGCTGCTTTGTGCTTCCTTCCTCGCCAGCCTCCTTGGGGGCAGGGAACGAGTCTTTGTTGTTCTCCTTCTTCCACTTCATGCGCCGGTTCTGGAACCAGATCTTGACCTGGCGCTCGGTGAGGCCCAGCGCGTGCGACACCTCGATGCGCCGCTTGCGCGTCAGGTACGGGTTGAAGAGGAACTCCTTCTCCAGCTCGAGGGTCTGGAAGCGCGAGTAGGTCTGGCGACCCCTGCGACGGCCAGGGCCTAGGGGCGAGCGCGGTGCGGGCAGGAGGAGGAGGAAGGTGGTTGTGGGGTGTAGGAGGAGGGGGGAGGGGGGAGCGGCGGCGTGGGGGCGGGAGAAAGAGGAGGATGGGGGGTGGGGGGGGTCACACGCATGGGCTTTGTCAGGTGGGCACGTCGGATCAAACGTTACGAGTTGAACAGGCGAGGGCAGGAAATTAGCGGGCTCTTAACGAGCGCAGTTTTAAAAGTGCGCCGGGCCAGGCGCGGCGCTGCACTCGGCAAAGCACAGGGCGCAGCGCTCGCCGCCAAAGGGTCAGCTGGCCGCGCCAGGCCACGGCTTTCACCCCCCCCCCCTGCCCGGCGCACGAGGGTCAGAGGACGTTCAGACGCACAAGCGGCAAACCCAACCTCGGGGAGGGGAGCGATCCCTCGGTGGTGGTGACGAGGTCGCTTCGGTGCCGCGAGTGGAGCGATGCAAAGAGGCGGGGGGGGGGGGGGGGGATGCTGCTAATGCAGCTGCACTGAGGCCCCCTGGGCGCGAGGTGCTGAGCCCTGGGATACTGAGCCCTGGGCCCCGGGGGCGAGACATAGGAGCCCCGGGGGCAAGACACTGGGCCGCCAGCGGTGGCGGGGTAAGCCTCGGCGCAGCCGCGAGTGATGATTTGCGAGAGAGCCACGCTTTACTCACCCGCGCAGATTATGGGGGTTTAACGAGGGGTTTAGGTCGCGCTTTAGCGTCGCCGCGCCGCGTGTAAATATCTGCGCTTCAGACGAACCCCCCCCCCCCGCACGCACGCCCGCCCTTCTCAGCACATCACACGGGAAGTGACACGCGGGGCAATGCCATGGGGGCAGCCTCGCGTGCCCAAGCTCGCCGCCTCCTCCCCCCCCCCCACCCTCTTCTCACGGAAGAACGCGCGAGCGCTGTGCTAATATTACCGCGCGAAATCGAGTAATAGCGTCATTTGGCATTTCCAAAAACCATTACCCCCAACGACGGTTGGCACGGGCAACTCAATTCCTCCTCATCCCGCGCTAACAAATGGCCCATTGTCAATAAGCGGAGCGCGCCTCGCGGGGTCGCTTCCGCGAGCCAAAACCACCACCAGCAACACCACCAAGTTCTCACCTTGCGGTCTCATCCACGGGAACATCTGCGCCGCCGTGTAGCTCAGATGAGACGCTTCCGTCTCCTCGCCAACGCTCCCGACGGACGATTTATAGTCGGGGTATTGCACCAGGCCGCCCTCTTGCTGCGCCGTAAAAACAGCCGCCCTCTGCAAGGAGTCGTAGCCGTAAAATTTGGGCGCCTCGCCGTGGCACGCGGTCACGGCGCAGGGGCCCTGCTGGAAGGGCGCTCCGGCGAGTGCCGACGGGGGCCCTCCGGGCGCCCCGCCGCCGCCTCCCCCGACAGCGCCGCCGCCTCCTCCGCCTCCTCCTCCTCCGACCCCGCCGCCCCCAGCGTGGTAGAAGTCCTGCACTTGGTTCAGGTGCTGGAAACCCGGAGCCGCACCGGCGCCGTAAACGACGGCGGCGCGGCCGCTCACGTCCTGCCCGAAGCGGCAGTCGTAATAGTTGGGACGGAGGGCATCGCCGGGCTTGTACTTGGAGAAGAGCGAGTTGACAAAATAGGAGCTCATGGCGAGGGAGCGAGGACGCGGGAAGCGTGGGGCGCTGAGGGCCGCCGTCAGGGGCTGGGCTGGCAGCCCGTCCCACCGCTTTATGGCTGTTTTGTGTTCTAGGAGGAGGAGGAGGAGGATCTCTCTGTAACGTCTACTTGAAAGAGAGGCGCTCCTCGGCCGAGAGGGAAGAGAGGGAGGCAGAGAGGCGAGGGCTGAGGGGAGCTGCTCGCACTCGTCACTCTCGCCGGGAGCTGGCGACTCCCAACTCCCCGATCTCAGCAGCAGCGGCGGCAGCAGTAGCGGCAGTAGCGGCAGGAGCAGCCACGCAGCTCAGTTGGGCGACACATTCAAACCGCTCGCTCGCTCGCTCGCGACGCGTCTCTCACGGATAAAAATTTTTACGACAGTTTGTATTTATCGCGGTGTAACGGTAGCCAATTGACTTGCGGTCCTGTGTATGGGTTTTTGTGGAATAGAGCACAGGCAGAAAGGGCATGGAGGATGGGAGGAGGAGGGGGGGGGGGTGCTGCTGCGCAGTGATACACCGGGTGGGGCTGTAAAGCGCAAGGAACCGCGTCACTACAATCGAAATCCATGCGCCTTGTCGGGAAAGCTGAAGGAAATAGGGAGGAGGAGGATGCCGCTGAAGGGTGATCACGAGCGGGTCGAGCGAACTTAGCCAAATGTCAAGGTCGGGCCGGGACCCGTGGAATAGCTAATTAAGAGTTGCGACTCTCTCGTTATTAAAGCACCACGGGCTCGGGTTCACAACAACTCCCGTCTGCCACGTGCCTCGGAATTGAGTTTATGATTTGGCTCACCCCGAAACAATAATTTGTTAACGATTTTTTTCTCACTTGTGTGTTCGTGGTGATTTTTGAACAAAGAAGAGCAGATTGTTGTTGTTGTTGTTGTTGTTTTTCCTTCATTTCCTAAATTATTATTTTGTGTGTGTGCCCGTGAATAACAGGAATCGATGGCGGTTTCTGAAACGACCCTCCACGCCTTCCCTTTTTACGACGAATTTTCCTCCAAAAAATGGGCGGTTTACCAAACAGATGATGATTTACAATTATGGATTTAAATATAAATAGCTCGTTGAAGTCACTTGGACGTCCGAGCGCGCACAAGTACGGACGTAACTAGGAAGTGATGTCGGGTACAGTCGATGACTTTTGTTGTTGTTGTTCTGCTGCTGCTTCTACTTCCTCTTCCTTCCCCTGGTTCAGCGAAAATATTCGTCAACTTTGTCCGCTTTTGACAACTGCCGTGGCACGCCCACAGTTTGGTGTTGGGCGAAGACGAATGTAAGAATGTATGAATGCGTCCATGCACGTGCGTATAATCTGCGTAGGTATGCTTGTATGTATGTATGTACGTAGAACGCACGTACGTATGCCATTACAAGTACTTTGTTCATTTACCTTCGAACAAATGTGTGCGCACTGTGTTTAATATGTCTATACTGACTTGTAGTATACATGTACAGTATGTGTTCGTATGTTGGTATGCATATTTGAGCGTGCATTTTTTTTGCGCAACTGTTTGTGTCGTGAATGTGTTTTTTTTTGTAACGACGACAACAAGAACAATCGATTTTGAAGCTGTCATCTGTGAGTGAGAGTCGGGGCCTCGCTATCACGGTGCGAGGATGACGAAGCGAACGCGAGCAGAACCAGTTGAGCGCACTTTGCACATTCTCCCGGTCACCCAAACTTCGAGACGCTCCGCGTACCAAAGTGTGTGATGTGTGCTCGTGTGCGTCGGGTCCTGTGTTCATCTCGACGAACGTGTTGAGCGGCAGCGGGGGTGCTTGGCGCCACCCGAGTTCGATTCAGGCTCACGGCCACCCAAACAATGCGTGCAGTGACGATTGTCCGAACCGGTCCTGGGCCTCCCAGATGTCGACTCAATGCCTCATATGAGTAGCCGGTGCCGCGTGCAAGCATCGCCACTGTGGAGACAAAGACGGTCGCACGTGGTGCTCGCGACCAAAATCCCTGCTCGTGTCCCCGTGCCGTCTTCATAGGTGCTCGCTAACAGCACTTGCCCCTACAGGCTATGCTGGGGGGGGGGGGGGATCTTTGTCTTTGTTGTCGTTAGAATTACCGACACGGCGGAAACGCACGCGCAATGCAAGTCGCGTACCAAATCTGTCGAAATTTTTGGAGTTTTTTTCTTCTTCTTCATCTTCTTCCTTCTTTTATTTTCCTCCCTCTCGGTTTTCTGTTTCACGTTTAAAAAAAAAATAAGCTGGCGTAAATTTTCGAACGCAGTCATGCAAAAATGTCGGCTTGCGGCGGCGCTCACTAATGGAAATCATGGCCGTGAATGCATTTCCCATCATTTCCCTGCACAAATGTTCTCCGGGCCCCTCGCCGGATTAATGTGTAACCAGGTCTAGGGAATAAGGAGGGAGGGGAGTCTTCGAGCTTGGGGAGTCTTCGGGATCTACACGGTACCCCGCAAATCTCAGCGTGCAAAGACAACACATTAGGGGGGGCAGATTTTTTTTGTGTCCTGCACCCCCGGACCTCGTCGTCCCCGGAACGCGTAAAAAGTGACGGCGACTGCGGTCACTCGCGCCTCGTGGCCCGTGCGGTGAGTCACAAGTTGACCCCCCTGCTCGCACTGCCCGGTGGCATGCCGTGTCCGCGGGCAGAGAGAGTCTCTGCCGCGAAGTCTTCGCCGCGCAATTAATGCAGCAAGCACGCGGAAATCAAATTAATCGGTGGCGGCTATCGCATTTTGATGGCTCCTATTAATTCCATTTTTTAAAATTTGAGCAAATCGATGTGAAAGTGATTTTCTTCATTTTGTATATATATTTTTTTTATCGTGAGATTTGTTCACACGAAACTGTGCGATTAGACACGCGGCTTTGTTGTTGTTGTTGCTGTTGTTGTCGTTGAAGGCGGCCACGACGGCAAACTCTACACCTTCCCTGCGAACGCTTTGTAGAGTTGGGCCGCTCTGTAAGCGATGCCAATAACCCCACTGCCAACAGGTCCAGAGCTACCAAACACATCTTGGGGATTACAGGAAAAAATAAACTACATTTGGGAATTGAAAATGCCTGTAATAATAGTAAGGTGAGAGTATAGGTCACAGTGAGAGCCTAGCAATGGGACACGCGGGCACGCCGAGAATTTGCCGAGAGCGGGCGTTGTTTGTTGTTGTTGCTGATGTTGTTGTTGTCAACACGAGGTCCCCTCCCCTCTTCACAATCCGTTTGTCCACTCTGTACGGGCAACTCGGTCCCCCCCCCCGTCACCACCACCACCCCAGCGTCTCATCCCCACTCACTCCACCCTCTCGCGTCGCATGTGCCGAGTGCCCAGGGTAGGGGCGGCCGAGGCGAGAGGCACCGCGCAGCAGCCAGAGAGCGCAGGCGGGACGCGCGCGGCTCCAAGACAACAACAGCAGAACAACAAGACGTTAGCAATTTGTTTATAAACATATATGTATATAATACTGCATACAGTATTATTTGGGTCTTTCGGTAAAGCCACGTAGACAGAAAAAAATAACAACAAATATCGACGTTTCGATCGCAACACAAGCAGGTCGTCTCTTTATACAGCGTTTGCTTTATTTTGTGTAACGTGTAAAACGATCGCGTATTACACTCCACAATACCTAGCCACGTACGCCCCTGCGTTTATTTGATTATCAGTTAGTTGGCACGGTCGCGCTTTTAGCTGCTGCTGCTGGCGGTGGAGCGAGTTGAGATTGCACAATTTAGTTCACGCGACCTGCGCGTGAACTCCACGAACAGGTATGTTGTTGTATATGAACTATTTGTTTATATATATCAGTATTTAAAGACTAAATCAGTGTACTTACCCGTCAATTACATGTTAAATATATCGCGATCAACGATGTTGAACACGTAAAAAAATAAAATACGACATCGAATTCCGTTAAATATTTGTGACTTTTAATTATTTAGTTCAAATTCAAGCTGCGGTATTTTTTTTATTTTACATATAAAACACATTTCAGTAATTGTGCTTGTAAAAGTATTTATATTAAAAATCTAACTTTTAAAAAAATCAGAGTATAGAGCGCTAAGGCTATTATTATTCAATGTGTGTGTGTATATATATGTGTATGAGTATTTATGCACACAGCGTACTGTCTGATACCAAGCGTACTCATGAACTCTCCAATTGCTTTACCTGTGTGGCCACGGTATTCGCGACGTTTAATAAATTCGCACAGAAGCCGCGATAAACCGAATGAACGGCGGTGAAAAAACGAATTTAACAACATCACGAACGGTGTCGTGACACCGACAACAAACTCACTTCCGTTTCGTATATAAAAGCCACCGGACCCTCCACGAACGAATATCAATCCCATAATTATTCGCTAAATAACCGATTGTGCTCAAAACATCGATGCGGTTCTGCGTCATAATCCAATAATCTTTCCTCCCGTGAGCTGTGTCCGTGCATCCCCCACCCCCCATGCTCCTCGTTCCTGTTGGCCTGTTGCGTTACGTGCGTGCGCCCGCGCGCAGAGAGAGTTCACGTCGATTCGTTTAATTCGCGGTGAAATGAACGCAGGAGCTTTATCCGCCCCGGTGTTGTGAGTGTTGCGTGGGGGGGGGGGAGAAGGGAGGCAGCCGCCCCCACCTCTTCTTCGTGTTTCTCATCGCCGCAGGCACCAAATATCCCTTCTATCGCCGCGTGTAAAATTTAATTTAAACCGCGATGGGGATTTTGTTTGTTGCTGTTGTTACAAAGTCGTAATAAAAAAAAACTTCCACCGGTTCTACAATGTCAGGAGTTCTATAATAAATATTGCTGGGCGGTGTTTTATTTGTTTAAATAAAAAAATCGGGGCGTCGCGACAGCTCTCGAACGCGTACGGGTTTATAGGTCGTGTACGGGTTCATAGGTCGCGTACGGGTTCATAGGTCGCGTACGGGTTCATACAGCGTGTGCAGGCTAATAGATCGTGTACGTGTTCATAGGGAGCTTAGAGATTCATACAGCGAGTACGTGTTCATAGGGCGTGTACAGGTTCACAGTCCTTGTACAGGTTCACAGGACATGTACAGGTTCACAGTACATGCAGTGGTTCACAGGACATGTACAGGTTCAGAGATCATGTAGTGTCGAGGCCCCGGGCCGTATCCTCTGCGGCGCGTGACCTCACCTGCAGCCGGGCTACAACACGACAACACGCACCTGTCACCCGGTCGCTACCGTCACCTTTACCTGCACCCCACGTATGAAGAGGGGCGGGGGGGGGGAGAGCTTCTGCAGCGACTCTAACAACGCGGACGCCTTTCACTGGAACCGCGCGGAGTTCGTGCGCGGGTCTGCGCATGTTGCAAACTGTTTGAGTGCCTCGTGCAAGTTTACATCGCAGTCACGTGTCGTACCTGCGCAGAAAAGGAAAGATGAACTCTGGACGGTTCCTGCCAATGGTGCATCACGTTAACAGCAGCGACTGTGGGCGGTGGCGGGGTGGTGGTGGTGGGGGGGCGTGTGGACCAAGGGGGGGAGAAGCCGCCCCTGCCTAACCGGGCGGGGGGGGGGGTAGCCGGGGCTCTCTCGGCCCCTCGCGCTTGGGCCGCCTCTCGATTCCTCTCGACCTCTGCCTTCTTGGCCCCCGTGGATGCACGAAACTTTCCCACAGCAGCATCGCACCCTTACGCGGGGAGAGGGGTGGGGGGTACCCCTCTCCGCCTACCTGTGCCTGCCCGCACACAGTGACCCACCTCCTCAACTG